AACATCTGACACCTTCTCAGTGAAATGTCAACAGAACACCGATGGCTTAATTAGAAGATGTGGCCATAGCTTAACAATAGTCATTTGACCAGGAATTTATGTTGCACCTAATCAGACAGGTTGTGTCTTGTTTTTGGAATGAGAGAAGTGTGGAAGTCTACGTCCGGGTTTACGATTTGGCGATCATCGCAACTTCACCCAATAATGTTGTAGTACTAATTCAAATGTTCGATTATTTATGTGGTATACTTGTAGAGAGAGAGACCGAGTATCTTGTAGCTCGAAATATAATTTCAAGTAATGCGTCAATGAAGTTTAGCAAAGTTCAATTTGTTCGAACGTCTTGGCAATTTTTCCAATCTTTATGGGTAAATCCGTTAAAATAGACAAAATCAGTATCCATGTTTTTTTGTACAGTAATTTTTTAAAATGTAACAAAATAATTTTCTAATGATTTAATAGGCTGCAGAATTTAAAGTTCAATATTATTATTTGCTATAGTAGCTCTCTGCCCTAGATCTGCCAATATCAAGAGCTAAAGTTTTTTATATTTTATTACTAGTCCGTACATGTTCGAGAGTAGTCTACATCGACAAAAGTTTTAGTGTATATATATGCAGAAAATTATCAATTTTCTGTAGTGACCTCTATAGGTGGTAAAAAATTAATGGAAAGGCAGAATAAGTCCACATATCAATGTAGATGAATTTGAATTGTTGTTCTTGTTATTCATACATAACGCCTATATAGACTTTTGACGTGTCAAACCTATCCACCGTTGTCATGATTGATCTCTTTTTCTGTAAGAGCCACGAGCAGGAATGGCCGTATGACGATTTGTTTATGCTTTCGGCTGTTACAAAGATGTAAACATACAAAAATGTCATTTATTTCAATAATTACGAAATGTACAGATTATCTAATATTTAGTGCCTTAATAGTGCCGACAAAGTAGTAAACTATTTTGAAAATAAATTTGAAAATGGTATTGGTTTCCGTAAAGCGTATGTAATTTCCAATTTCAAAAATTCAAAAAACTCTCAATGGTTCTGGATAGGTTTCCGACATTTGTATGAAATGTATGTCGTTTACGCCACAGCCTTTGACGTGCCATCTCTGGCCACGAGTCATTCGATAAGTCATTCTTATGGGCGATAACTTCAACTGAATACGAGGACATGCCGATAATTATACAGAATTAAATGAAGAACAATATTTTCAACATAATATTTTAACAATGTTTGTATCACACCCGAATCTGAGATTTGTTAAAATTCGACTTCATTTCACCTGAATCTCTGTTCAAGAATCCATCCATCCACTGCCAATATTACAAACTACGAGGGAGGAAAAACATCATGAAATTATTGATCTGCCCTCGTATGTATATATTACTGCAGAGACCGACACGAGTAGGAGAAAATATAACCTGAAGTGAACTGATTTGATTTGTGTCGCTTAGTCTTTCAAAGACTCACACACACATACACTTGCTTACGTACATAGCTTAGACTATGAATGTCAGTTAGCCATACAATCGACGTATTGTCGTTGCTCCCGATGCCAGAAAAAAAAATAACCTGAGTTGGCGGTGCAATCTGGATGACATGGGCGTGTTTGTGTGCATGTGTTAGTAATCCAATGACTTTTAACATTCTAGGAGCCACTTTAGCTATGCTGAGACATCGAACTGCTGATGAACTGGATCTTCGGCTACGGAATGAATAGTTTGCAGGTCGAAAGCCTCTGCCAAAAGTGGAAAACGACTAGAAAAAGAAAACAACAAAACTGTCGATTGATTTTCCAGCAATGTTGTCAACAACAAACTAGTTTTGTCGTTGTCATTGCAGAACTTCAAATTAGTTATTGCATCCTGCTTGTGAATGACAGCCATAAAAGTGTTGTTGCTCCAGTTTTAATGGAACGTCGTCCCTGATCAACGCATTCCGCTACGATTCTAATGCATTCTCTGCGTAATGTTGCTGATATTGTGAGTCCACATAACCATGACAGATGCGTTGTGTGTTTATTTGAATGGAAGATCATAGAGAAACATGTATGTGTGCAGTTTCCAGTTTCATATTTCGTCCCTGTAACCAGAACATCGCTTCAAAAAGTTTTTTTTTCATATTAAAATATTTTTTTTCATATATTAACGGGACATTATTGATAATTTCGGATGATCAACTGAGAACTTTAAAAGAAATACATATACCTATAATAAATTTAGTTTTTTTTTTCAAAAGTAGGAGATAGAATTATACATTCGATTCGATTAGTGAATATGATGAAAATCTCCAAAATATCAAAAATGGTCATTTGGCAATTTGAGACTAACTCAAATTGAACCATACAAAGATTCACAATCGTCCAACGCGTTCAAATTATCGAAAATCGAAATACATATCGTGCACATCGTTATTTTTACTGCCAATTTAACCCAGATCAAACATTAATTAATATTAACATTAATAACATTAATATTAACGCATAAATATTTTGTTTATAAATAATTATTTTAGAATAAAATTTAGATTTAGCATGAAGCGAGTATAGAACGAGATACAACAATTTTCTGCCATTGGCATTGTTATTATTGTTGTTCTTGACGGAGGCACCTATTGTGTTAATTGTCCCAAAGGTCTGCATTTAAATGCATTCAATGGACTTAAGAACCATTCCAATTTTGAAATAAAATTACCTTTAGGTTCATTTTCCTCAATAAGCAGGTTCGAGGTTGTATTTCTTTTTGGCCGTACGACCTTGCAGTCGAAAGAAAATATGAACAAAATCTTTACATTTTATCGAACTTGATAATTATTTCAGTTTTGGATATTCTGAAAATGTTCATTGGAATGATTAGGCTTTCGTTTCAATGTCACCAGTTATGGCAATTTTGGTCCACAGTTATGATCGATGAGACATTTTACGTCGTTGACGATGTTTAACATGTCCTGAACGATGTTTTTGCTCACAATGCAATTTCAATTTTTGTGTATCAGAACATATATATCACCTATATTTTATTAATATCGCTTACAACGACTATAGTTTATAACGACAAAATTCGTCGGTCCCTTGACCGTTGTTGTTTCGACAGAAGTTGCAAAACGTGCCTAACATTCCCAAAATACCGAATATTGAGGGGTAACTTGATATGAAGATGGTGTCCCGAAAGTTTGGTCAATATTAATAATTTTTAATTTAAAACATTGGGAATAAAAACAACCCAATTGCCGCCAATTCGGTTGAAAATACGTGCCCAACATCCCCGAAATATATTTTTTAAATACATTTATTTTTGACGCTCTTTGCTATCTGGGAAATACTTGTGTGAGTATCGTGTTGGTGTGGATTTCTCATGTTTTCAAGAAAAGTCAAAGTTTTGTTCACCTTTTCTCACCATTCCAAATGACATTGTGCGAATTTGTGCATGCGGAACAACATCGTGAAATTGGAGCAACATTACAAAGGTGTGACATTGGCTAGAGTATGCCTTTTGCATTGCATTACGTGGGGGCCGGGGTCTGGCAGTTAGCATTACCAAATGTGTGAATGTGTGCGTACGCGTATCTGTTGCCCGCAGAATGAAACCCAAAGGCCATTACTTGTCAATGTGGCTGTGTGGCGGTTGTGAGCTTCAAATGCCATTGTGACCATAAATTTAATACGTCTATCCCCATGTGCTGACTATACCTAGGCAGACACACAGACAGGTAGGCAGGCAGAATGGCAGGCATGTGATATACTTATGTTTACGTTTGTCCATGCAGTTGATAAAGTCTAATGGTTTTAAATACGTATCGCAGATTGTGAGCTGATTTTCTGGTTTCAGTGTTATTAGCGAAACCAGACTATGTAGCGCATGTGTGTGCGCGCCATTGCATTTCGAGTACCTCGGTCTTGGTCAGTTTGTCGGCCTATCTACTAACAATGTAAGAAATACATGTGGGTAAAGGCTTCATCTCAGAGGTTATTTACTCAAGCATGCCAAGATACATACAAAGGCCAACGAGCTATCACAGATTCACAAGCATAACTTGTACTCGCATTCGAATAGATCAGATAGGTGAACACCGTCTGGAAATGAAGTCAACCTAACAAACCATCACCTTGGTAGGTTTTGGAATAATATATGTTACCATTGGATGGATGGAAGAGAGAAAACTATCTGCTAGATGGAGCTTAGAGTGTTCCATATGGCTTTATTGGATATTTGGAATGAGGGGTGGAAAATTCCTCATGGGGATGAAAGCCTTGGCGAGTATATTAAGAACATAGAATGTAAAATTTGCCATACACAGTGATTGTGTTATCCATTGTGTATCTGTAAATATTGTAAATAGTAGTTTTAAGATTTGTTTTTGTTTTTTAATTTTTAATTTTAGCTTTAAGTAATTTACTTTGCCCATTTTTGTTATTGAATTTTTTGGGGCCTTATTTATGTATGCATATAAAATGTTTTTTGTATTAGTATCGGCTAGTAGTATAACTACAGCTATTTTATTTTTATGTAGAAGGTAGCGAATAGCCACACGTTTATTTATTTATATATAATTTAGCAGTAAGCCATACTGTATAGTTTGTAAGAAGTATATCAATAAAACATGGCTTAGCCAAAATCTGAAAATTTGCCATAGGTCAAGTTTCAGAGTCATGTTTTTCGTTCTCACTATCTTCAACATCTGAATTAAATACCACAATAAGAGATCTTTTAACATCCAAATACTCCAAATATAGATTTCTTAAAGACATAAAATATTCGTATATTTCCATCGGCCTTTTCCTTAAAATTATAGATGATAAAAAACTGTTCCATTCGTCTGAAATATTTACCATGTTAATAACATGTAATCGCGGGAGACAGAACCTTATTCCTACGTCTTTGAATCGGAACTACAGATGAGAAAACCTATTTCAATCATCCGATAAAAATTATATGCCGATCAATTGAAAGCTAAACCCATTGCTATTTACATGGAATAAATTGATCTGCTTACCTTAACATATTCTGCACAAATGTCGATGCTTCCGACAAATGCACAAACATCGTCCACCGTCCATGAATTCACTTCTTCACTGTGTGCCTGACACTTTCGTGTATTTATGACAGCAGGAGAACTGGAAACAGCTGTCGTTGTGGTCGTTGTTGTTGATGTTGTCGATGGTGTTGCGCTTGGACTCGATGGGCGATCACTGTGGGGCGGGGGAGATGGCGATGTGCTAGTGGTAGGCGTCGAGTTACGCCGCTTTATGCTTGCATCTAAGAGACCTTCAGAACTACTTTGGCTTGATGTATTGGACTCGATTTTAAAACGCTTCGAGGCTGGCGGCTGTGAACTGAGGTCCAGTGGTGAGGCAGTTCTCTTATCTCCAGCACTCTTGCCTGGGGCATCGTTTGCCGTACCAGATGTTGTGTTTGTTAAATTTGCTGAACGTGGACTAGATTGGCTTGAGACCTGTTGCTGTTGTTTCTGCACTTGTGCTGAATAAAGTAAGGCGGGCGAAATGAATTGGGCGGCTTGCTGTAGAGCCATATTTAAGGTGGGACTGGGCGAAGGCGAAGCATTCGATGAGCTTCGTTTTGAAGTCTGGTTCATTTGTAAAATGTTGTGCATTTCATTTTCTTTAGCCGCTCGCGCCTAGAAGAAAGTGTAAAATAGTTGGGTATATGATCAAAACGTTCCTGTGACTTCTAAGTTGAAGAAAATACGTATATAATTATGCAACAGTACTTACCAAGGTTATTAGCGCTTGTGTGCTGCTCATGTCAATAAGCGGTGGTAAAATGCCTTGGGCGAAGGGTAAACTGGATAGGAAAGATGTCATGAAGGGTGAAACACTACCGCCACTGGCTGTATTGGCAGCAGCAGCAGATGCAACCGCAGCTGCCATTTGATTTTGTTGCGATTGGCTTAGAGAAGTATCGGCCGGCGATATTGCTCCCGATGACAGAGGCGGTGGCGGAGGCAGGGTGGATGTTGTCGTAATCGAAATTTCCTTGCCAATCGAAGTTGATGGTGGAGGATAGGAGGTTTTCGATGAGACCGACGATGTCTTTTTGGTTGCATTGTTTATTGTTGTATCAAAAAACGTTTGACGTCTAGAATTGCTGGAGCTGTAACGAAATAATTCAGAAAGACATTGAAGGCGCCCCCGGAGAATACTAAAATCGCTGGGTTGTACTTACTCTGTGGGATTCGTGTTATTGTACTTTGCCGCTAAGCATCTCATGAAATCCGAATAGTTACGCGTTGAAAAATCGCTAGGCAGCGCAGCAGCGGAATTGCTAATTCCAGCACTGGGGAAATTTATGTTGTTCTGACGAACCGATGATGAAGCTGCCTGTTGGATGCTGTTTAATAAATTTGTAGAGAGATTATGCATGGGTACCACAGTTTCGGATGGACTGCTATGGACCGAATGTTGCGGTGAGGGGCCACGAAAAGACGAAGGTGTTGTACTTCGTGATCTGAAAAACAAATAAGAAACTAAATGAACATCTTCCAGTACGGATACAATAAGTCAAATTAAATTTCTGAAGTTCAAAATTTCGCTTTGAGTTACACCCTTCACCTTCGATATTGAGGTTTATCCCCATTTCAAATAGGGTTTAAAACTAATTTGTTGGTCGTCCCGAGTGGCGACGCTTTTATAAAACTGGAAAAAGTTCCATTTGATTTGGCCCGAGCTGCATAACCGGATTACTTGTTATCTTGTGCATAAACAAATGTTCTATGGATAAGGAAATACATTTGGGGCTCAAAGGGTTAATTTCGTATGTATTGAAAACTGATTTGTTATACTACGTCACGCGTCTGACACACTTTTGCCATTTTGGGTCATTGTACCAAAAAAAAATATTAACTTATGACGTCAATGACATTTCTTTCTCGATTTTTGTGGATTTACCAAATTTGATTGCCGTTTTATGTAACTATCAATAATTTTCGAATTCTTTTTCATCAATACACCGCATTCTATAATAACTAATTTAGTAAAAAAATCGCAACATATTTAGAAAGCTTACAAAAGCGGTTTGAATATATGGCATGAACTCAACTTTGCGGCTTTTGACCTCCAAAGTCGCATAAAATTCCAATTTCCATAACTAAAGAATCATATCATAATTTTATGACACAGGGTGGAGCTCGTCTATAATCTGTTTTTATCGCTACAGATTTCCATGGTCGGTTCAATAGAATATCAGTCATCCAACGAAGTAGCAAATTTTATGGTAGCAATTTTATGATGGCTCCCTGAAGACCTGACATTCTATACAAAAGTCATGTGTAGGTGTTTTATGCAAAATACAAGTGTGTGTATGTATATGTCTTTTATTTTAATTCCTCAAAATAATTTTAATACAAAAAATAACAAATTCTTCAAAGTGATGAAACGCGCGTGTGTGTGCATGTTTGATTTTTAGTTTGGAATGCATGGTACCTTAATCTCAATAAATATCAACAGTTGCAGTTGCACTAAATGTACATAAAAAACCTACGTAATTCCGGTAGAAGACCATTAATTGTGTATGGCGTATGAAATATTGAAAACACCAAAATGTTCGTGGATTTCGAATACTACCTGAAATATTTTGAAAAGATCGACAAATAAATAGCTCAGAATTAGTTTTTCAATTGATATATTAGCTGCTTAGGAGCGGAGCATAACTGGAAGTCAAATATTTCTGACACCTTATTTTAAAAGTTTTTACGTGGGATGTAAACAATTCTAATTTGAATATTCGATCTAAATAGTAATCTTAAATTAATTATATGTTTTAAATTACATTAATTTATGTTTTTACTAATTTTATGCGAGTTTGTTAATGTAGTATCTATTGTGTCTAATCCAATTTAGCACGTGTCGTGTTATCTGTTTGTGACGTATAATATTAAAACAACAAATTATTCATAAAAAAAAAACAAGTAAAAGAGTCAGTCGGTGATTATCGGTTATAGTCGAATAGTCGGTAAGTCGGTCGGTATATACCCTCACCCTATGGTTTGCGAAGGAGGTCTTTGGAATTATACACAGGTTTTATTATTCGTTTTATATAAGGTATATGTTTAATTAAAGATGAGACAGGTCCCACTTCGGACTTGATCTAGGTTTGGTTATGATAATTTGGTTCAAATCGGGTATTCCATTCGCCTAATATTAGATTTATAAATATTGGAAATGTTTACCATTTTTGTGGGAGGTACCAGAAGGAGTGAACCAAAGTATCCCATCTTCTTACTTGATCTAGGCTTGGAAAAGGTAATAGGTTGTGCAAAATTTGTTTCAAATCGGACATTCCTTTAGCCGGATATTGGATTTGATTTATGGGGGAGGTACCAGAAGTAGTGAACCAATGGGTCCCATCTTCCCAAAGTTATAACTATTGAACTGTTTGACCATTTGTAAGGGAGATAGCAGAAGGAGGGGACCAATGGGTCCCATCTTCAAACATGATATAGGCTTGGTAATGGTAATAGGTTGTGAAAAGTTTGATTCAAATCGGACATTCCATTAGCCTGATATTGGATTTATAAATATTGAAAGTGGGGGAGGTACCAGAAGGAGTAGACCAATGGGTCCCATCTTCCTACTTGACTTGAGTTTTGTTAAAATCGGATAGTCCGTTTGCATGTTATTATAAAATTTATTTTTAGCACAATTTTAACCATTTTGTGGGGGAGGTGCCAGAAGGAGTGAACCAATTGGTCCCATCTTCAAACATGATCTAGGCTTGGTAAAGGTAATATGTTATACAAAGTTTGGTTCAATTCGGACATTCCATTAGCCGGATATTGGATTTATAAATATTGACAAATTTTACCCACTGTGAGGGAGGTACCTTCCTACTTGACCTAGGCTTGGTAAAGAAAATAGGTTGTACAAAGCTTCGTTAAAATCGGATAGTCCGCTTGCATGTTATTATAAAATTAATTTTTAGCACAATTTTGACCATTTTGTGGGGGAGGTACCAGAAGGAGTGGACCGATATTGCCCATCTTTGGACTTAAACTAAGTTTGGAAGAAAGATGTGCCAAGTTTGGATGAAATGGATTGTGCGGACTCATTCAAACAGACAGTAGGACAATGGACGGACTAACATGTGTAAATCGACTTCAAATTTTCTAAAACGGATTTGGTCCAAAGAAACATGTGGTCTAAAATCAATATTTCGATGAGGCACATATTCACCGTATCTAAGTGTATATACCCTCATTAGCCAATACAAATATTGTTTTAGAAACATGTCTGTTTTTTATAAGAATACAGCATTTGTATTTTGTTTTAATTCAAAAAAAAGTCAGGAGGTCTAAATGGAGTTTTGTTGTTGTTTTTTTTAACATATAAAATATTATATATTTTATTATGACATTTTATAAGGCGTTAATGCATAGTATATTATCTAATTATTATTAATTTTTCATTGCATACCATCAACAACGATGTTGTTGGTACACTCTAATATCACTATCAAATTCACACATACATAATTATGTCCAAAGGTTTTGTATTTTTTGAATTATGAATACAAATTTGTTGACACCACAGATCTTAACTTCGGATAGGGTATATATATTTTGAAAAAAAATCTACCTTGTCAATGTGACATAATAATTTAATTGATTTCGTTTTAATTTGTGTCGACTATAGATTGAATATATTAATAATCTTCACGCATTGGACCGAAGTTGACACAAGAAATATGATAAGCTTAAGATTTATGTAAATATGCATATCGGTATATTCCACTGGGGCGGTAGTAGTTTTTTGTTCGCATATATCCCATATAAATTTGTTCTTCTTCTATCTAGATAATTCATAGACAAGTTGTTGTTTACAACAACAATGAAATCAGTGTCATTTTATATTATATTACACTAGTCAACGGTTATGTTCTAAGGTGCTTATGAAGCAGGTGGTATATTTTTCTTTTTAGATTCAAAAAAATTGAAAAAAATTGTTGATGGGTCAGGCATTTTTTAAGAACAATTACCACGGCAAGCCATAACGGTCTTAACAATTTCTAACAATGATTTTTTAATACTAATCATGATTTAAACCTATAACCGGCAAACCCGCCTTTAGAGGTTGTGTAGTAAAGTAAATTCGTGCTATGCCGAATTATTTATTAAAAATTATGTTCTAAAGATAAATATTAGTTATTGCTAGGAAAAAATCATTGAAAATTTGCAATCAGTTGTTAAAATATGTGAATAAAACAATTGGCATGCAACAGGGTTAACTGGGTTGTAGCCAAAACGTAAAACAAAAACTAATTGAATTGGTGTGGTATCCCTTACTTATAGTGACAGAAGATGCTCGACGGCCCATAAAATGTTCCACATTACAAATCATTAGTTTATGGTTATTATGTGGAAACCAAAAAAGATATAGGAATGTATTTTTATTCGTTGAATTGTGAATACAACAACACAACAAATAATGTTAACCTGTCAGCGGGACATATTTAATTGATTTAGTTTTAATTTTGTTGACTTTGATACCGAATATGCATATCGGTATATTCCACTGGAGGGGTAGTAGTTTCATTTCGCATAAATCCCATATAAAAAAATTTTTAAAAATTATTCATGAGGAAATTCCATACAAAAAAGCTGCAAAGTCTTTATTATATTACACTAGACATCAGTAAAATATACAAATATAAACAAAGAGAAAAAGATGAAAATGAAAAGTGGGTACTTCAAAACAATGCCTTTACAATTATAGGATTTTCACAAAGAAAGAGCCAAGTAAATGTGTTGCAACAAAACAGCAAATACTATGCATATACATACATATCTTTATATCTTTTACATGCCGCAAATCTCAAAATATCAATTGCAAGAGGATGTAAATCTGACGTTTATATAATATTTCGCTTTATGGTTTCCTTTTAACAAAATGATTAAATTAATATATGCTCAAAGGTCACCTGTATCCCATCTCGTTTCAAAATGTGTAGAACAGTGCAAAATTCAACTCTGACTTTAATGTCTCTGATAACGAAGTATCTTCATAATTCACATTGACTGATTAAAGTGGCCATACATATGAATTAATGTTAATGTGTATCAGATTGTGACTTAATGTATGCCTGTTTGTGTGTGTGCGATTCTTTCGTCAACAATAGCATAATTTATAACTTTACGATATTATCGTTTAGCATAAATAAGAGCCATTCATATTCCATTGTGACCTATAGTGTGTTTAGACAAACAGTGGGATTAGCATAAATTAACAACTTCCATCGACACCGGTAATAAAATAACACACATTTATCGAGTGGAATCGTAGGTAAGTATCGTCCGTCATTCATAGAAAACAACTAAAAGGTGAACTAAGAAAATGTCGAATTTTTGTTAGAACATCACGCTTAAGAAATTATTATTTATTATGATTTGAACAAGCAAAAACTAAAGACGGATATTGTGTTAAAACGTCCTATTTTATTTTAAATAATTGTTATATTTCAAATAATGCACGATTCCTTAATTAAGTAAAATTTCTTTTCAATTTTCTCTTAAAATTAAGGAAATAATAAAAGTTCTTTCGAATTCCGTTGCAATTTTTGGTTTCGGATGTTCCAGTGAGCGGAAATCATACCCGCCGTCGGAATGAATAAAGATTCAAATAAAAGTAAAGTTAAAAATTTTCAAAAGGAAACTTTAATTAAAGACAAAAGAATTACATTTTGAAAAACAATATTTTTTAATGTATTTTATGTGCAGGTAACGTGAGATGAACAATAATAAAGATATTTGAAATTTTTATCAGCGACTGAAAAATATTTGGTAGTTCGGGTTTGCGATGCTATTAAATATTAGGTCTATATTTGACCAATTTCAAATATCTTCGATCTTTATTTTGCTTTCTTACAAAATAAAAGAATAGCAAATGAAAATATATTTATTTAAAATGTTATTGGTAATAATAAAATAAAAGAATTTTGATGGATATCTGGTTACAGTGGAAAGTACAAGTGTACTCATTTTGTGAAAGCCCACTAATATCATATAAAAGGGGAAACATAGTCTTGGCTTGGTCTTTGTAGAACACTTTATTGGTTTCGTTCTTCTCTGTACGCATACTTCTTTTGCCCAGTGTATATTTATGTATTCAGATATTATGCTTGTGTTTGCTCATATAATAAAAATTCTCTCGAGCAATAAATGCGCCCTTATTCTTTCGAATTTAACACACTCGTGTAAATTAACGATTGACGAATAATTTATTCGAAAGAGTTCATGGTTCGTGTTATGTTGATTAATACCTTAACCTTAGGCTGGTCAAGCGACAACCAGGTTAATGATAAAGAAATAACATAAAATTAACTCATGATTTACTTATCAATTTTGATAAGATATTCATGCGGAGGTCTACGGAGGTGGAACATTTTTGTTACAATTATAATAATTCAAAATTGTAACAGTTTGTGGCGAAGTAGCAGAGATTGTGGACCTAATTTGCACTAAATCTATATTTAGTAAACATATTATGCCACGATTAAACCACACAGGATTTACTATTTGCTTTACATATGCATTAATATGTTTTCATCATCAACTGGCCCATATGTAGGAAGAATACAAGAAAAAGTTGCCAATACCAATACCAAAGCAACTAAAACGGCAAACTGGATGAGACCATTTATTCAGTTAAGTTTTTTAAAAATAAATAAATATAAAAAATAAACTTATAGTGAACGTTTTTCAAGAATAAATAGGTAATTTATTCATTAAAATACGCAAAATCTATTTCGAAATATAAAATAATCCGTGGAAAACTAAATTGAACCAATTTTTGCTTGGTCAAACCTAAAGCAACTTTTTGATTTTTGTTTAATAAATAAATTTTGCTTGTAATCGACAGCGTAACCTTTTTGAATATATAAGACGCACAATTTGATCCTTGTATATACTATTCCTCGAATCCTGAACCTTTGGGAAGTGGTTATGTTTATTTGTATGTGAATCTCTTTAGATTTTTCTATTTAAGATACTTCAAAGTTGAAGAACCCAGATTTTTGACTCCCGAAACCAGTTTTTAACATGTTTCGGTGCCAAACAAGCGGTATATTTGCTTCAGCGAAGGGAATTATAGCGTTTTCAGCATTTTGTATAAACAATCCGGTCCATTATTTCATAAATCTTGTAAATAAATCGAACTCCATAAAAAGAAAAACAGCCCAAAACCATTATTGACCCACCTCCATGTTTCACAGTACCCTTGCAATACTGCGGTCTGAGTCTTTCATTTTTGGGTCTTCTCACTGCAAATTGTCTCGTGCCTGTACCTTAAATATTATACTTTAATTCAACCGAGAGCATAATAATTCTCCACTGAGTGGGATTCCAATTGATATCAACTTTTACGAAAGCCAATCTATATTTTTTTGTATTTTTCAGGAACTGAAAGGCTTGCATGTCGGTTTCCGGATATGTAGACCTGTCACCACAGCTTGTCTACGCTTTGTTCTCGAGGTTATATCCAACGATTCCGAAATCCTGAAATCGGGGTTAATTTCTACAAAATTACAACCAATTTGGTGGTAAAAGGCAGCTAAGACTATTAAAATATCTATATTGAAACGAGGGCGTTATATGAGACTATGAAAAAGCATAGATATATATTGAATGTATTCTCCTCTGTATCATCTGATAACCCGAAATTGCCCAACCTTTAATATACCTAAATATACCATGTAAATAGGTCTACAAATGGATGCGTATTTTAAATGTTCTGCAAGTACTTTGTTTTTGCAAAATAGTCTGGCTGAATCCCAGTTTGTTGTTTTTATAAAAAAACAACTATTTTTTTTAGTGGGGAATGTATTGGAAGTACACCAAAATGTACCGAAAATGTGGCGGAACCATACAAACTTATTTTTTAATTTAACTTATTATTATTATTATATTTTATTGTTGATAAACGTCATTCCCGCTAAACTGTTCAGACTGAATTTAGAGGATGCATCAGCTTGCCTATGAATTTATCCTGTGTCCTATTGTGAATATATTTTTTATATCGCAAAAGATCGAAAATGCATTATTTAGACTACTAGAATGTAACAAAATACTAGATATGTTACTAGAATAATCCCTCACTTTCTATTTGCTTTAAAAAAGGCTGTCCCTTTAAACGGCATCACATTGGCACCATAATACTCATGGCGTGTTTAGTATGTGTGTGGTCTTATTTGTCGCATAAGTGTCAGTGTCAGAATTTATTATCCAAACCAGTTGGATAAAATTTAAATTTTTGATCAGTTCATTCAATGAATGGTTAATTGGATATTTTGATTGACTTGTATTTTACAATAAACCATAATATTTATGTTCTTATGTATGTATACATATTTTACGTATGTACATACATAATATATTCATTCTCAAATACATATTGATGTATATATCTGGCACATAGTCTTTATGTATGTAAATAGTCCAAGACACAATATGGCCATCATCATCGCCATCCGTACTTCGCTAACCATTGTCCAAATTTTAACAATTAATCTTCATCTGTCATCGATCCTAACCAAAATCATTCATTCGTTTCAGTCGTGAGCTGGACGTGTTAATTGATAGACCAGCATTATCTATGCTAGGTTGGGCTTTTATGTTAATCGTCTTTATTAAATCATTAGTTATCATCGTGCTGTGTTCGGTAGCATTGTTTTCATCTTCAACGTTTTGTTTTTGTTTTTTTTTTTTCCTATTTGTTGGTGTTTGTTTGTTGGCTTTGATTTATGTCTTGCCAGGCAGGCCTGCCGCCACAAGCTATCCACCTATTTTCTCTAATTTGTCGAGGGTGGCGTTCGAACTTCTGTTTTAAGAAGATGAACGAACAAACGAAAGGTGTTGATGGGTCCATCAATTATAAACTTAGTTATGGCAGATCGAAATTTTGTAATATTCGACTATGTGAATTCTGAAGAGCTTGATTGTATTTTTTTTATACAGTCAAATCAGCTTAGCCGAAGTTCAATAAATCTGGTTTTAAAATACCAGGAAAAAATTTAGACTGTTTTAAATTTTTGAAAATAGCTCCTGCCTCTATGTTATCGGCTCCCTCAGCAAATCATTTTTTATTTAGAGAATTTAAAGAATATTAGGTTCAAACATTTTTTTTTCAATTAACCGAAATTTAAAATTTAACGGTTTGCAAATAAGCGGATTCGATTGGAATATATTTTGTTGATTTTGATTTTAGTTACTTGTTGTTACTTACCTTGATAGGGCCGATTGTAGGTCACCATTTGTCCCGGTGGCGGGACTAAGTCTTTCTCTTTTCACATGATTGCTGCTCAGGTGGATTGATGAAGATGGTGACTGGTGAGGGTGGTGTTGGTGCTGATGCTGGTGTTGGCCAACGGACGATTGCAGGGAATGACTGGACATCTCATCACTGGTGGTGTTGTTGTTGCAGCTGTTGTTTAGGGAGTTTACAATTTGATTTTGACTTAGAACTAGATTGTTGTTGCTGTGACTGTTATTGCAACTATTTGTGTTGCCACTGTTATTGCTGTTGTTGTTGTTGTTATTATTATTATTAATCGACGAACAATTGTTGTTGTTATTTACCATTGCTGCAGCAACGGCAGCAGCGGCAGCTGACGACTCCATAATGGCATCCTTCAGTGAATCGATTTGAGCAGCGGTCACTCTCGGTGACAGGCGTTCATTTTTTACCTTTTCCAAGTAGAGATAGGCAGCCGCAGCTGCTGCCGTTGTGGTTGGCGTGACAGTCAGTACTGGTGGCGTCGTTATCTGGGTAGTACTCAAGTTTGGTGTAGTTGGTGGGGTAGTTCTGTTGCTCGTTGGCTGTTGGCAACTCTTATTGACGCTGTCAATGGAGTTGGTATTGTAGCCGCTCAAAACCAGAGAACGTTCGCTAAGCATTTTATTGCCAATCGACTGTCGGATAAGTAATTTGTGCTGTTGTTTGCCACAATTCGCAATTGAGATGTTTTTATTAGTCTTTGTCTTTGTTATAGATTCTGGTAGATCAATTTCTAGCTCATCTATCAGTGTATCCTTGGCTATATCTGCGTTTGACTTCAATAATTTCTTGCTAATATCATCTGCAATTTGGGAGAGGGAGAGAGAAAAAGGAAAAAATCAAAACTAAATATTAAATAATATTTTTACGTGGGCTTGTAAGAACAAATTATTTGTATGAAGGTAAATAGATGCTATGTGAAGGCAGTGGAACCTAGCATATACAATAATATTGAGGCAATCTTTAATTTGCAATCTAGGAATAACAATTTGGGAACTCAGAAAAGTATATAAAAAAATCAGTAGGATTAAACAGGATACTTCTTTCTCATTTTCGAATGTTTAAAATGTTAACACATTGTGGGGAAAGGAATAGATCAATGTGCAAAGTTTGGATGTCATTATATATTCCTATCGCTTCATATGAGATTTGCAAATGTATATAGCCTTATTAGCACAGAGGCTGAGGGTACGTAGGAAATTTGCATAGAGGCAAATACTGCGCCTTATATTTATGTTATAAAAACCCCGAAATAAAGGTCTATGGTTTCATATTCCTGCACAATTTCGCATGCCGAAAGTTCCTATCCGACTGCCGTTCGATTAAAAACCCTTTCCAAATAAAAATATTTACCGATTTGATCTATTATATTTCTCAATTGCTTGTAGGGTTGTTACCATATTAACGAGTTCAGTGTCACAATGCAAGTCTGCGTTGCTGATTCAGGGGACTTGACACTGTTTTAACCCGAGCTGTGCTAGCCTGACCTTATGGTCACATTCATAAGACGATCAATAAATCATCTGGTGTGAACTACTGATAAACACACCACTGACATTAATGTCATTTGTGAGTTGCAATTGATCCTGTCGAGTATCCTGATAAGAAAAAAGGATACAAATCAAAATTTTGGATTCAGTGACCCACAATCGAGAGACGATGAAAGTTTTGTCCCAAAATTCGAAATAATTACAGCACTATTCGGGTGAATGGATTGGATTTATTTTTTTACTGATTCTGACATTTTAAATACATCTCTTAGAAAACGTCGATTCTATAAGTTTTCAATGTTGACACGTATTACTGTAATTACAGGCAGAGAGTTCGTGACGACGACCATTCAGACAAACGCGATTAGAAAGTCACATGTCAGAGCAATGCGTCACATTTGTACCGATAAATTGACAAGTGGCAATGAACTCTACACTCTCGTTTTGTTAAAAGCGCTCTGGAAAAGTGTGAAGAGTACAACGACAACAACAACAACAATATAGACAAGGTCTGTTCGAATCGAATCTATCTATGGGTATGTGAAGAATATGTATGTATGTATTCAGCTCAACTGAAGTGAACGTAGCCGCCCATCGTAATCAAACACAAAACGACATCGAATGTGATCCCTTGGTCGGTCTGTCAATTGTTTTTCAATTCATCGACGACGACACAGAGTACATACTAGAATTACACATAAACAGACAGACAGCCAGCCATACACACATTCGTACATACCATGTAGGTACATATAACGCAGCGTTGACGTTTAGACTGACTATGTGAAAGCTTTGTTTGCAGTAAAATTTGTGTGTGTGTTTTTGTTTTGTGTAGGAGTGATCATCTAAATTTATTGACATAAATTTCCATCGAAACTGTGAAAAAATTGTAATATTCTGCTATATAAAAGTTGAAAAGTTCAAAGAGCTTTAAGTCTACATTGATAATATGTCAAGAAGTATTAGGACATACAGTTTAGGCCTATTTCGAGAAATTTCAGAAGAATAGACACAATTGGCTGGTTGTTATTCGATTTTTTATGATCATTTTGTTTAAGGATTCTATCCGCATTTGATGGTCATCGGAAAAGATAATTTTAAGAAGGGGTTCATAAAGAATCGTGAAAAAAGAAGTTTATTTTTTCGGCAGATGGCTGTACTGATTGATTTCTCGTAAAGTATCGATCAAACAATTTCAGATTTATGCTCGTTGGAAGGGTGACATTTCGCAGTAAAAAAATGATTTTGCTGTTTTTTGTTTGGTGCATTCAGTTGTGAGTTACAGGGTGTTAAAAATGAAAGTGAGAAAAAGAAAATTCGGTACATTGTACCAAGCAGCTAAAATTGTGAATGGTGGTATCTATCTATGGATACTGTAACAGCCAGTTATGTGAAATTTTGGTTTCGTAGATTCCGTTCAGGAATTTTTTATGTTTAAAGATGGTTGGTTGGGAAGTTTTAATACAGTCCGGACTTGGCACCAAGCGATTATCACCTTTTTCTTGCATTGCAAAATTTCGTTAATGATAAAAAAATTGGTATCTAGGGATGATTATGAAAATCGAATACTAGAGTTTTTTTTTTAAATAAAGAACATGACTTTTATGAGAGAGGCATTATGAGTTATAAGTTACCTTTAAAATGACCACAAATCATACAACAAAACGGTGCATCGGACATTTCGATGGATTTCTTTTTCCCCAACCTAATATAGTCACCAAAAAAAGTTGGGAAACTCGAAGATATTTCCACACAAACCCAGACACTACCTATACCTGCTATTCGATTGAAAACGGTAAGATTTAAGATCCAACCGTATTGATTGTAGGTTGACATTTTGGGTTTTTTTGTCTACGAATACCTGAAAACCTTTCCTAAGTAAATTGACTGTCCTTTCGATGGTTTAGGTTCTCATCGGATAGATCATTTCTGTAACAAAAATTATCAAAAGTGGTTTCGTCGGATATGGCTATAATTAAGTGTGTTGGAAAAAATCTATAAAGATCCCGAAATTTCACGTCCATCCCTTTGGCAGGAATTAGTGATGTACGATGATGAACAACATTTTTACATTTAGACCGACTTAGAAACTCTTTTTGTAGCACAGACTCATGCGACAGTCTTAATTCGGATGCTTGGGTTTGTGTTTTCACGTCACAGCTATCTTTTATTCTGTTATAGTCTGACGTTAACACGAAATTGCTTGACCTTAAAGTTTTTAGAGTGTGTTTAAAATTTTACGGCACCATTCCACAAATATGTTGCGTGAAAGTTGTTAAGATGCCAAACTCAATTAAATCCATCATCACTTCGATGCATTTGACGAATGCAACACAAAAAAAACGAGAATGAATGCATCGACTAGATACGTTAATATATTTGGATCAGTGACTATGAGCCACCTCAATATTTAGAGAAAAAACGGTAATAACAGCAGTACCAGCAACAATACAACATCCTAGTTAGTAGCACTAACTCCGCCATATCAAGTTCACCGCGGTGGTTGGCAGATTGAATTATCTATAAAATATAAAAACATAGTAACACCGCAATGTAACGGTTTGTGCACCTTAATTGAAATTGCATCAAGGCAAACAGACACATACATACACACACTCACAACACATTCAATTCAACCGGATTAACGTAAAACTCTCCATAAAAATCATCGATAATGATGGACCATGGATTATAACAGTGGAACCATCATGAGGCAAAAAATAAATAAAATAAAGACTTTAAATAAATGTTCAATCCACTTTTATAAATAGAATAATTAAAAGGTACAAAAAGGAATAACTCGACAGAATTGCAAAAAAAAATAATGAACTAATTTGCCATACCCTCTGTGACTCTGTGACAATTGTGCCAAAAACTGAAACTACGAGCCTACCTTGCGATTGAGGAGATGAAAATTGACGAATCGACGATCAAATAAAATGCCCACATATTGAACAAAATTCGTAATGTTGGCAAAACATGACAACTCCTGTCCGTACGAGTACAAAAGGATTTTATACCACAGTACAAGAACATCATATTCAAATAATAAATACATAAACACCTCTTAGAAATTTCACTAAACGTCGTTTCTGTTAAGCGCTAGTAATTCATTGTCAAATGGAATTTCATTCCATCGAAATTCATTTCCGGTCGTTCATGGATGCTAACGAAACCAATATGACGACAAATCAAAACAGATTCCACACACCTCTATCGATTTGATACAGGCAATCAGGATGGTATAATTAGTCGCCAAGTAGAAACGAAAACCAGTCCAGATGATGGGCATGGCATGTATCTGGACGAACCTGCCTGTCTTGTCACATAAATTCACTCAAAGCCAAGACAAACTCATCTGCAAGCATGAACAGCGAACAACGACAAAAAAACAGCAGCGATTTCAACGCCATCATTGAAAAGTTGAATGTCTGACTTAGGGATTGGAAAATAGATGCAACCAACACTGCGACTCTGCATAGTGGAGTGGAACATCCATTGGAATGCATGTAGCAAGGCATCCCGATGTCAACAGACTAAATAAACCCTCTGGTCATGACAGTTACAATAATGCCTCCATCAGTTTGGTGGTCAATGTCTTAGCCTTGTTGCTGAAATGTTCCCCAATTACTGGTAATTTCAAATACGAAAGCTATTACACATCAACGCATTAGCGTTGATCTTGCGTGTGTCCGTGTTAGGCGGCGGAGAGAATATGGCAGCGATTGAACTAACTGACTAACAGACTGGCGATTGGTCTGACACATGGCGTATGGCCACTAGTTTGGGCGATACCAGTCTGGTCCACAAAGTAATTCCAAAATGAATGATGGACTGTGTAACAGCAGCACAGGCAGCCATATGAACAAGTTACTGGTTAGCTACATGGGTAGGTTGGTTGCCACTCGTCCATATGGATGGTGGTAAGCAGAGCTATTAGCATTAGCGTTCAATGCTCTGGATTTTATGCTCTGCTACTTACACTAGTACACAGTGTCATTAGTAGTATGATCCACTAGGCAACAGGTGCGCTACCACACTGATAAACAATCATCATACACTGACAGCCATAAGTGACGAAACAAATGGACAATGTAATTTTTTGATAATATTTTGGAATATTAATTTCAAATTTGACTTAAAAAGACCGAATTAAGGGAACCC